CGTTGTTATTTTATACTGGAACTCCTGGTTTTTAAATAAACCAATAAGCACCATGCCTATCTATTGATCTATTGTCAAAGTTAAGATCTTCCCATTTTCTAACATCAGTTTAATAATCTAATTACCATTTTATATTAGAAGCTACATTTCCTAAAACACTACTCATTTCAGTTTAAGTAGGAATTCCTCCCACTATAATATCTTAGTTTCCATAGTAACCAGCTTCTAAAAATATAGGAGGGTCTTATTAAATAAAGGTAATTAAAAGAATAGATAAACCACCTACTACAACTAAACAAGGAAGAAAAATTTCACATATAAATCCTTTAGTATCTCTTTTAAAATATAGAATTCTTTTCAAAATTAAAGCTGCAAAATGGATACAAAATAAGGAAAATGATTTTTTTATTCTTATGGAATTTAAATCGAAATCATCTAATTGATCTTTAACTTGTTCCTGTACATCTGGTTAAATTTTAATACTGTTACTATCTTATGGTTTTATAGTATAATTTATTGTTTCTTTAATAAATCAATTTTTTTTTTTTTTTTTAATTTTTTTTTTACCTTATTATGGTAGTTCAGCTACTTTTAAAAAAACCTCCTATAAAGTCGTTATAGATATTCCATAAGAAGCTATTCCTAATTGTTCTTTTTAAGAATCTAACTAATTAAATAAATTTTCGAATTAATTCAAACACTATATAGGTAATTAAAATGATAATTCTTGTTAATCATCAATATCTTTTTTATTTGCAGATTATAATGTTGTATTCTTAGCTTCAGCAATAATTCCTTTTACTAAATTAACAATATTACTTGAAGGCGAGTCTTTATTTTACTTTGAAACTAAAAAATTATTTTAAATATATTTTATATATTCATTATTATTTACTTGTTAGATTATATCCTACACCAAATCTATTTTTCAAAAATACTGAAGAACCACAACATATTAATTTTCCTTCTCCCATAATACCTATTCTATCTCCTAAATAATCAGCTTCATCCATAAAATGAGTAGTAAGTACTATAATCTTATCATTTTTATATTTCTTTAACATATCCCAAATATATCTTCTAGCAGAAGTATCCATTCCACTAGTAGGTTCATCCAAATAAATAAGTTTACTTCCTCCAATAAAAGCTATAGCCACTGAAAGCCTTCTTTTCTGTCCTCCTGATAGATTCTTGCTTAATTCGTTTGTCTTTTCCGCTAAATCAACATCTATTATAGCTTTATGGACAGCCAAAGGTATATCTTTATTATCCATTCCTTTGAAAACTGCATATAGCTCCAAGTGTTCTTTAACAGTCAAATTATCAAAGAGAATATCATGTTAAGGACACACACCCATAAATTTTCTAATGTCCTCTATTTCATTAGTAATATTTTTTCCATAAACTTCAGCTTGTCCTTAAGAAAACTCCAACATTCCAGTCAACATAGAAATGGTAGTTGTTTTTCCTGCTCCATTATGTCCCAAAAGACAGAAAATTTAATTTTTATACATTGTTAAATTCACCCCGTTAACTGCTTTTTTTCCATTATTATATACTTTATAAACATTATTTAATCTTAAGACTTCTTAATTTTATTCTTATTATTTTAAACCTGCCTAAACTTCTTCTACATTTTCTTTAGGAATAAGATTTTCTTTATCTTCGTAGAACTCCTTTCCATGTTCAATATTTTTTTTAAAAAGACAAGTTATAAAGAACAAAGGATGTTTTTTTTTACCAAATTCATTAGGAATAACCTACTCGCAATACCAAGAAAGTATAGCAAATATAAAAATATTGAGAATACACATTCCCATACTTATTCCAATTGAAAAATTATCAACCATATTAGACGCTTAACTCCATGTGATTCCGGTTCCTTCATTTTCTACTAATAAAAATATATCCGCAGCTAAAGTAAAGCTTGTTTGAGATGATACAGATGCTCCAAGTTTTGTTTTTAAAGGCAAATTATTATTTCCAATAATAAACTTAATCATAAACATGACTAAAAAGAACACCATAGATACGATATTACCCAATTTTGCTCTCGAAAAAAATGACGTAATAAAGATACTTTAAATAATCAAGCTAACGCAAAATAGCCAATGCCACACAAAAATCAATAAATAATCACTTTATTTAAATATACTACCTTTTAAAATAGCCGAAACTATTAAAGAAATAATTGTATAAGTCATTAAATACCAAGAAATCCAAGAAGAATAGAACGAGAAATTACTCATTCCCATAATTTTCATACCTTCTCGTATTTTTTTCTCTTTTTCAGTTAATATACCACTACACATTCTTAAAAAAGTCACGATAAGAGGTAAAACAAGAAAAATACCCATTTATCCTTTTAAATAAGTAATCAATTCATCTTTTATGTATTAAGCCATTTTAAAAGGAGTCACTTATATAGAAATTTATTTTTTAGTTTTTCCTTAATCATTTAATAACTTAGCCAATATAGCATTATCTATTAATTTTTATTTAATAATATAATTTAAATTTATATTATTTTTTTACCAACGAAATTCTATATTTAAAGAAAACCACTACTGAACCATAAATCATAATAAAGATTTTTATTTTCTTTTTTATAAAATAAAACTTCGTCGGTCAATGTAGGAGGAACATCATAAGGTCCTATATAAATAAAAATATTAGATATATACATATAAATATAATTAAATACTTGTAGTATTATACATTAATCTCACATCAAATTTATTATTATTTTAAGTAATTTCTATGCCTAAACACACATCTTCTTAATAGTCTTCTCCTTCTATATATTCAAAAAGTTATTATCTAGTGTCATAGAATTTAAAAGTATATTAAAATTGAGAAAAATTTAAAGGTATATTTGTTTGATAAGATTCTATTATATCTTTTACTTTTTGCGTATAAGGATTATTATTAACTAATGCAATATGGCCTGTTCTTTCTTATATATCTTTAATATCCTAGGAGCATTACAAAGTTGGTGGTTTAGGAATCTTATTAATATAACCTTCTTCTTCTTATCTTAATTTGCCTAAAATATAATATTAAGGAAAATCAGGGTAAATATTTTTTATTTCTTTTTCTCTTGTGAATGGATTAGGATTAAAATAATATGATTTTTCATTGATAACCTATATTTTATTGTTATTTTGTTATTTTTATTTATTTACTTATGTATCTATTTAAGATCTAAATGCGAAAAATGATAATGCCAATAAAATTGGTAAAGCAATCTTTTTAATATATAATTAATTTTATTTTTTATTAATTTAATTTTTATACTTCACAAAAAGATCCAATCCAACTTCTTTACCAAAGAATAAGATTTTTTCTCATTAATGCTTTATAATGACTCATTTTTTTTATGATTTTTATTTTTTATTAAATTTATTAAATTTATTAAATTTATTATAATAAATATAATATATTTATATATTAATAATATTAATCTTTTTTATTAATAAATGTTAATTTATTTATATAATTTAAAATTTTTATATTATATAATTAATTAAAATATAAAATAGAAAAAATATTAAATATTCATATAGCATTATTTTACTTTATAAAATATTATTAATATATTAATTATATTATAATATAATATATCAACAATCCAACTTCTTTACCAAAGAATAAGATTTTTTCTCATTAATTCTTTATAATGACTCATTTTTTTATGATTTTTATTTTTTATTAAATTTATTATATTAAATATAATATATTTATATATTAATAATATTAATCTTTTTTATTAATAAATGTTAATTTATTTATATAATTTAAAATTTTTATATTATATAATTAATTAAAATATAAAATAGAAAAAATATTAAATATTCATAAAGCATTATTTTATTTTATAAAATATTATTAATATTATAATATAATATATCAATTATTTTTTACAAAATAGAAATTTTTAAGAATTTTTTTTTTAAATTAGTTTCTTTATATGATTTAAATAAATCATTATTATAATAAATTAAAATAACATTAAATAAACATATTAAAATAAATATGAATTATCAAATTATAAAAAATTTATTTGTAATATTTAATCTAAAAATTAATTATAATTTGATATAGATTTGTAAATAATAAAATATATTAATTTTTTTTCTACTTAAATATATATTATTGCAAAATAAATAAAAGATAATTACACTTCAAATATATACTAAATGAACAAAAATAAAAAGATGATTATATATAAAACTAGAATTTTAATAAATAAATTATACAATTATATGAAATATGAAATATACAAAAAATATAGATGAATATTTGTTATTTAAAAGAATATAAATTATACTAATATATACTTCAAATTTTTTAAAGAAAAATTATAGATAAATAAAAACTTTATAAGTATATATGGGAAATAAATAAAATTAAAATAAAATAAAATTATGATTTTTTTTTTTTTTTCATAAAAAATGCATTTTATTATCATAGAATATTCATTTAATGCCATTAAAAAAAATTCATTTAGTGTTATTAAAAATGCATTAATTTAAAAATAAATTAAAATCTATTTTATTAATATTGATTATTATTCTATATATTATATTATAAATTTAATTTAATTTTATATATAAATGTATAATAATTTTAGGTTATAATAAATATTATTAATTATTATTTTATTGTAAATAAAATAATTATAAAATATAAAAATATGTTGGTTAAATATATTTATTAAAAAATAAAAAAAAATAATTATATTTTTAATTATTTACATTGTTTATGTAAAAAAATAACATATATATATATTAAAAAAGGATTCACGAAATAAAATTATTTATTTTA